CATTGCACGTTTAATTTTTTTAAAACTTATGCCACGTGTTAACATGAATCTAACTTTAAAAGTCATGTAGTGGCCGTTTTGACGATTCTTCAAGACTTTTCAATTTCTTAAAAAGCATTTTGAAATGATTCATTGACCCAGAAATTACAATTTAATCCATCATCCACTACAAAACAAATGTAAATTCCATAAAACTTCATTTTCATTCTTAAAGAAATAAAGTATCATTTGTTCTTATCAAGTGCTTATTTTGATACGTAGTGAATGAAAATTGATCATTGATAATTTTTAAATTTTAGTCAACATTCAAAATATAAATTATATCTAAAATGGGAATTACCTTTCATTTTCCTCTTTAAATATATATAAGCATCTAGATTGATGGAGAAAACGTATATAATAATAATATCATTGAGTGTGAAAGGTTGGCATCATCGTTCTTTCCCACATGCAACAAGTCAACATTAGCAACGAATAACTAATTTAGTTGATAATTTTTTTTGTAAAAATGATTAATTTAGTAGATGGTTTTATATTGATTATAAAACTTGTATAATTAAAAGAGAAAACTTTTATCTATATATTAATTACTCTTTCCTTCCTAAAATAATTATCATGCCTAATTATTTCATATTGATTGAAAAATGTGATAAATAAATAGGAAGAATATTAAATTTATAATTTTTTTTTAGAGTATTGAAGTATTGTAATTATGTTATTTCATTATCGAGCTTTGAATGAATCTTATTAGCTTCCCTAACCTGACTTTATAAGCAAGGTTAACTTTTTTTTTTTTTTTTTTACGATTAACAATAGACTAAACTTGTTTCATAATCATAGTGTATTCACTTCAACAATTTTAATCATGTGTGTGATATTCCTACAAAGATATGAGATACTCAAAGATTTTAATAGATTTATAATAATTAGAAGTTGTCCGCGGCGGTGAGAGATCCCTTATGATGGTGTTTATAGAGTCTATGGTGGTATGAGAGGGCATCTCACATGAGGTGAGAGACTTTGTGATATGCTTAATATTAGTTAAGTTATGATTTGCCTTTTATCCTTCAAGGTCAGATATTTATAGAGGTTTTTGGTAAGGTTTAGGAAACCTTGATAAGTGGTAATTGCTCCCCTTGATTGGAGGAGACTGTTGACCACCTATTTTTTAGAGAGTCGTGCCATGGCTCGTTCTTATGTGACTAGTAAAGAGATAACAATATTATACACATCATATGTCTTAAAGGTGAGACCCCATGCTCCGTAAAGGTAGCGCCCGAGTGATGTCTTACTAGGTGAGGACCTTGACATCGCCTCTATTTGAGGCTCTCACTAATATAACACTACATAGTCTCTCAAACATGAGAGCTTGTAAAATGGCCAAGTGTTTTAAGGCTTATCTCTGATTTTTATGTGCTATGAGGTGAGTATTTTAATATGAGGCATGCCCCTTGTCTTGGGGTGTGGCCCTTTCGAATGGAAGGCGAGTCCTTCAGCTTGAGGCGAGACCCTAAACTAAAAGCAATCTTTTGAAGGACAGACAAGTCCCCCAGTTTGTGGCAAGTCCCTTGACTTAAAGGTGAGTATTAATCTTTGTCCAGATGCTTCTTGGATAGCCAGGTGCTAATGGAATATGTCAAGTTTCTTTTGATTGAACTTTGAGATGTCAAAACGTCAATCAATTAAAAGCTTGTGTGCTTTAGTGAAAACTGAGCGTGGGTAGCATTTAATGCAACTCATGATGACATTCTTGGGAAAATCAATCTATCCAATTTCGGTCACACACGCCTTCCATGTGTATGAACTTTCCACTTTTCGCGACAATTATCCCATTGAGTGGATATATTGCTTGTGCTATTATATTTCTATAAAGAGATTAATACACTGCTCAGAAAAACTTTTCCTCTTCTCCCTCTTCTTTTCTACTTTTTGCTTCTTAGAAAAATACACATGCCCAATACAACTTTGAAGAAGGAAAGAAGACGTGGGTGAGTGATTCAATTACTTTCCTAAGGTAAAAACACCAATATCGATGACTTTACATCTGAAGCAAGAAATGAGTAAGAAGAAAATCAAGCATATTCATGCTCGCGAAATTGTGTTATTGTACTCCAATTCAGACATGGTCAATAGGTTTCATCAGGGCATTATGTTTTCCAGTATAGCATGTGAGAAAGATGTGATATTGGAACACTGCTCAGAAATAGATAGGGTAAATATGAACAGCTCTATCGAGCCATCGACCCCTTATTTTTATTTTCACTTATCAATTATTCACGAGTTGGTAGTCTTGGTTCCTCTTACTTGTTTTGAGGTAGATTTCGTGAAAAATGTCAATGTCTCCCCTTCCTAGATCACCCTTAACGTATAGGTTATGCTTAGGGCCTTCTAGATAGTCTTTTGTAGTTTGGGCATCCCTTCCAATGTTTGGGTGTTCCTCTCTTTATTTAGCACAGAGATTCTTCATAATAATGGTTGGGTAACGTTACGCTTTCTTCTAGGAAGGTGGTTGTTGAAACCCTTTGTGAACCCTTATGATGATTATAAAGATAGGTTTATGCGAGTAAAAAGAGAGGTGATGCCTCTCCAGTGACCACATAGGCGATGGGTGTCCCCCTCTTTCCTCTACCGTGAACGCCAAATCCTAGGATATGGATAAAACTTCTCTGCAAAAGAGGAGAGAGTGTTTGGTTTGGATGTAGGCTGTGTAGCAGCGTGCGAGCTTGCCTCTTCCCATCCCTAAGGGTTTGATTGTTGATGGAGGGAAGTGGCAGTGCAAAACATCTCGGGATGGTGAGGTTCGCCCTCCCAAGATTTCGAGGCGGAAGGAGGTCCCTTTAGACTATTAGAAAGTCGCCAGACCATCGAAGAGGACGAGAAAGCAAGAGAATGGATCTGCCCCTCCTTGACCATCTTTGTGGAATGACGTGAAATTTAACGAGGTGGAGTTCTCCAATCACCACCTTTACCTTTCATAGAGGTTTCCTTGTGATTACTAGTCACTTCTTGGCACATCTTCTGCTAGTTTACCAAACCTACTAGAGATCCATCTTTTTCGGTGCCTTATAGTAGGGAAAGCTTAGAGGGAGAAACACTCTCCCAGTATTTGAGAATTACAATTCATAACAAACTATGTTATGATAAATTCTCAAGAGGGAGGTGAGGCGATAAGGGAATTGGGAGAAAAGCAGGATGTTATGAAGACACGCGCCAAAAAAATAGCTATTGCGGCTCTTTTCTAGTTTGAAAAGGTGTAGCGTCTGGAGAAATTGCTCTAGAAAGTTCTTAGTACTAGGGATAGCTTGTAAGAGAGAGTCTCATCTCTCAAGGATGAGGTTATGGCTACTTCCGCCCAACATTTTGAAAGAGCAAAAAGACAGTTTGCTTTCTTTTATCCTAACCTAGACTTAAGCTAGATGGTCGGTTGGTGGATGATGAGTAGTCCCTCACACTTCGGCCCTCTTGTAATATTCTCTTTTTGTAATAATAAATGACTCCTTGCTTTATGTTTGTTAATGTTATCAGTATAACCCCATTTTTATACATGTACTTTACTCTTGGTTGCCGTTAGGAAAAAATGGTTTATCATATAGGGAGCCAGGGTACCTGACAACAAAGGAGGTTCATTTGAATCTCTTATCATGATTTTCAGAATAATTTGGCGATTTAATTAGCAAATGAAATTTTTTTTTATAATAATAAAATGAGGAGCCTCATTAAAAACTCTTTCCCCTACAAGGTACATAGGGAAAAAAGTGTACCCCCAAAATAATATGTCTTTTGTAAGTGGCATAAAGAGCTACCAACATCAAATATTGTAATAGAGAAAGTGGCACTAGGGGACATTCCCTCTAGACTTTTAATCCTCGATCTCTTTGCTAATTTGAGGAGAAGTCTCATCACTTTTGCAAGCTACTCTTGGTGGTTTTATTCCTGAGCCCACCTTCATGGTGTTCGCGCCTACGTAGCATTTCCTGACAATTTTCTGATCTCCTTGAACAACTCCTACTCGCTCATTAGAAAACAGATACTTCATGAAGGAATACAAAGTGAACAAGGTGACACCCAATTTATTAAACTTTTTTACATGAAATTTAACGGTGAATAATATCTAGTTATTTAATAATGGTGTCAACATCAAATATTGTCTTCGAGATTGACATACTTGATCATTGGTTAACATCCCGAACATCTCGTCCCAATGTCATAAGGAGCTAAGTTAAGTTAGTGACTTCATTATCGACCATAACTAGTATGTCCTCTCCTCTAAGGGATGTCACCTACCCCCTCTAGGCGTAGCTTATGTAGCAAGCATCTTAAATATGTTCAACACTTATTTATTTATTGTTCTTTTATAGCATACCATAAGAGTTTACTTCACTAAATTATCCACCAAAGAATCAGTCTTTCCTCCATTAGCTCCACATTAAATGTTTGCAACAGAGGTTGGAGCCTCAGTTGTAAGACTGTGATTACCTCTGCTATCATCATTATTATCAATACCATATCTGGCACTACTTAAATAGTCTAGGTTTATGGCACTATATAATCACTCACTATTTTAGAATAAAAAATTTAAAGTAACAATTAAAATTATATTAAAAACTAAAAGTGACATTTATTTTAGATATTATTTTTTATAATTACGATATTTATTTTTAAACTGTTGTATTTATCTTTATCGTAAACGCAAAGATAAAAATATAAAATTCTGAGATTAAATGATATAAGTAAAGCAATTGGATAAGTATAATTAAAAAAAGAAAGTAATACATATCAGAAATTAAAAGATCTCAATCATTTTAAAGATATTTTAACATTAATAGCAATAAAATGAATATAGAAAAATATCATTGACTTTAAGGATAATCTATATCTATATATAGAATTGAACAACTTGCTCAATCAATCTAACTTATACACTGACATTATCATAGCTACTTGTATAACTAGAAGCGCCATTACAAGGTTACTGCAAATTTTCTTTGTAATATACAGAAATGGCTATTAAAATCAACTCTATTGGTGTTCATGGTTGGGGCGACATGAGAAGTCTCACCGTCCAGTTTATTACTGGACGGTGGTTCATCGTGTTCGCCTCCTTTCTAATCATGGCAGCCGCCGGAGCCACCTACATGTTCGCCCTATACTCCGGCGTCTTAAAAGAAACACTTGCCTATGACCAAAGCACACTCAATCTCCTCAGTTTCTTCAAAGATTTTGGTGCCAACGTTGGTATCCTTGCCGGATTAGTCAACGAAATATATCCACCTTGGGTAGTTCTAACAATCGGTGCTGTTCTCAATTTCTTTGGTTACTTCATGATTTGGTTATCAGTAACTAAGAAAATAGCAAAACCAAAAGTTTGGCAAATGTGTCTCTACATATGCATTGGTGCTAACTCTCAGTCTTTCGCAAACACCGGTTCGCTTGTTACCTGTGTGAAGAATTTCCCGGAATCTCGCGGCGCTGTTTTGGGAGTTCTTAAAGGCTATGTTGGTCTCAGTGGCGCTATCATCACACAGCTTTATTCTGCTTTTTACTATGATGACCCCAAGGCTTTGATTTTGTTAATAGGCTGGCTTCCGGCGGTTGTTTCTTTCGCGTTTCTTCGAACCGTTCGATACATGAAACCTGTTCGACAAGTTAACGAGATTAAGGTTTTTTATAATTTCTTGTATATTTCACTCGGTCTTGCTGGTTTTTTGTTGGCCATGATTATCATACAGAAGGAGGTTAATTTCACACAGAGTGAGTTTGGTTTAAGTGCTGCAGTGGTTATTTTCTTGCTTCTTCTTCCACTTCTCGTTGTTTTCATCGAAGAGAAAAAGATTTGGCAGAGTAAGAAACTCGCTTTGGTTGATTCTTCGCCGGTGAAAATAGTAACAGAAGGTGAAATTGCAGAAACTGAAAGAGTCAACGCTGTTCATTCAGTTTCAGTTTCATCTCCGAAGAAAGATCCGAAATGGTACGAAGATGTGTTTCATCCACCAGCAAGAGGTGAGGATTATACAATACTTCAAGCACTTTTCAGCATTGACATGTTGATACTATTCGTGGCATGTATCTCCGGTGTTGGTGGAGCATTGACAGCGATCGATAATCTTAATCAGATTGGAACATCGCTTCGATATCCGAAGAAAAGCATAAGCACTTTCGTTTCATTAGTAAGTATATGGAATTATCTCGGACGAGTTTTCTCAGGATTTGTTTCGGAACATGTTCTAGTAAAGTACAAATTCCCTCGTCCTCTCATGCTCACTTTGATTCTCTTTATCTCATGTATCGGGCATCTTCTGATAGCATTCGATGTTCCGAACGGTCTCTATGCAGCATCGGTTATCATCGGGTTTTGTTTTGGCGCGCAATGGCCATTGCTTTTCGCGATAATTTCTGAACTTTTCGGACTTAAATATTATGCAACATTGTATAATTTCGGAAGTGTAGCGAGTCCATTAGGGTTATACGTTCTTAACGTGATGATCACCGGTCATTTGTACGACAAGGAAGGTAAAAAACAATTGGAAGCACTCGGACGAACCAGAAAAGAAGGACAACAATTGAATTGCGTTGGTGTTGAATGTTTCAAATTGTCTTTTATTATTATTACAGCCGCAACTTTTTTTGGCGCAGTTGTCTCACTTATTTTAGTGGCGAGAACGAAAAAGTTTTACAGAGGTGACATATACAAGAGATATAGAGAAGAAGCTGAAATGGTGGAAGTAAAGAAAGAAGGAGATGCCAAAGTTGATCAACCACATGTGGTAACATCTTAGGATTAGGACAAGAGGATAAGGATGATGTTATTAATATTAAACATGAAATTTGAAATGTTGTCATGCATATTATATATTATATGATATGATATGTAACATTATGTGTTTATGTGTGCTAATTTTTCTTTGCTGTGATGTATAATTTTGATTTTCTTTTGTCACAAATTCAAAGAAGAGAAATTTGATTGCATTTTATATTGTTATATAGTTTAAAAAAATAAGATGTTGGTCAATGTTAGCAATAGTTTGAAAGAATCCAATCCATGTGAAGTAGTGTATTGATTTTCTAAATATATAAATAAAATCTCTATGGAATCAGAATATACTCCAAAATTTCAACTATGAAGTCAGAGTTTTGAGTTGTTTTGAGTAGGCAACTTGGTTATATTAAAATCAAAGATGCAGCAGAAATGTTGGAAATTTGCAATAGAAACGGCATCCCAATTAAGCATGGTTCTCAAATGGCACAAGTCTTGCTAAACCTTGATATTCTTGTCGATAGAAGAAGATCCATTAAATATATTTAAAATAATAATTTTTATTATTTTTAAAATATTTTTCTTCACTACTTGTTATGTAAAAAGGTTTTCAAATATAAATTCTGATATATTATTTTATTCACATTATAGAAACTTTTATAGGAGTTCTCTCCCACGCGTCTCTCCTTGATAATAGGAGACTTTGAAAACAAAAACCTAATGACATCTAAACGAATCAATTAATATTAAAAATAAATGGCATCTCAATTTTCCATTCTCTCTCAATCAACAATTAATATAAAAAATAATTACTTTAGGGTTAACAACATTTGACTTATTTAACATCTCATTTAAGTTGGAGCGTGACATCACACATTCCTAACTTGAATAAATATTCATTAAAAATTTGTATTGTTATTCTTTTTATGAGCATATCAGAAGTAATTTGTTTTAATTTTGACTAAAGCAAATTACAATTTGTTGGATTGAGAATGGATACATGGATTAGGGTGTGTATCATTCTCCATGCATAAAAAGGATCACGATCTCGAAGACGCATTGGATTGTGGAGCACATAAAAGCTTACTAAAGCTTCTTTCATGCAGAAGTGAATCATATCGACAAAAGAAATTTTGATCGACAATTGGTGAATATTTCACCATGTGTACCAACAAGAATTGACTTCAACTTCAAGGGAGATGATGTATACTACTCCATAATGTTGCACCCTCTGCACGACTTTAAGTGAGAATATGAGACCATCAGTGGGTACAACAGATAGTCGGGATCATACGAAGATGATGTCTGAATGGAGCGCTTTGGCTTAGACTTTGGCCTATGTGGCTGAGAACAAGTTAATAGCGACCTTAGATGATGAGCCACAAGGAATGGTGATTATTAAAGCCACAGGATTTGAAGTTAACAAAGAAAATGGCCAAAATGGCCAAGAAACAGCTTTAAAAAGTAGTAGGTTTGACTATATCTACTATGAAGAGGCTTTGGGGTTTGAGAAAGACCCATTAGCCTCAACCAAAAGGATGCAAGCTTGAATCTTTTGGAAGAGGTCGATTTGGGAGATGGTTATGCTAAGGCCAACTTACACAAGTGTCAAACTCGATCCAACCCTAAAAACAAGAGTAATCGAGATGCTAAAGGATATGGTACAATATGCATATGAGTCTAGTTGAAGTTGTGAGTCTTATTATAGAGTTTAATTGATGAATATGTGATTGCTTTTTGTATGATGATGGATTGGGTGTGAGAATAATGTTGTGTGATTGATGTGGATTGTGTAGATGTTTGAATTCTATCTTGTAGCTTATTCCGTTAATTTATTAATGTGAATTCTCACCCCCTTTGTTTTGATGTTGTCCACCATAGACATCTTGCAGTTACTCAGGAGTAGAATTACTGAGGTGAGTTATGAATAGCTCTTAGAGTTATTTTCTTTAGTTATCTCATTTTTAGTCGCTATGCTCTGATTCTGTAACATTGGGGGCGAACGATGTTTTCTTTTATTATGTTTGATATTGCCTTACTTGATTTGTTAAAATTTAATAACTAGTATGCTGAGTTATTTTAAATTTATTGAGAATTGGATATTAAATTTCCTTTTGAATCACTTTGTGAAAGTTAAGTCTTTATAAGACCAAATTGAAGTTGACATGTTTTATTACTACGATTAATATGATTCTGGTGCGATGATACTTTAAGTGAAGGTGAGCATGCGATGACATGTGTAGTATGTTTACATTTCTGTTGCATGTTTTCAAAATGTCTATGTTTTGTTGAAGGGTGGTCGTTGGTGACACCTTAAATTGTCGAGTAATTCTTTTTACATAAGTTTTGGGGTTTAAGGTGTTACATAGTGTCTTTGGTGAATTTCGACCAAGATGTTGTGATTCACTTTATCCAAAGTCACATAATCTCTAGATTCAGGATTCTCGAGACCATATCCATATATCAAGGATAAGTTTTACTGGTCGTAAGATGCTTGAGTTTGTCTCAGAATCAGGAATCAAATTGTTGACCTCTACCCCTTAATATGCTCAAGCAAACGGTCAGGTCGATGATGTAAACAAAGTCATAATTAGCCTTATTAAAAAACATGTTGGCCAAAAGCTAAAGAATTGGCATAAGACGTTGGACCAAGCACTTTGGGCTTGACGAATGCTCCCTAAAGAGGCAACTAACTTTACGCCTTTTCAACTAACTTTGGGCATGATGCAATGTTGCATGTTGAAGTACGCTTGTAGACCGTAAGAATCCAAACGCAAAGATAAATTCCCACCAACCATTATTAGAGCATAATGATGGATGATTTGGTCGACTTGGATGAAGAAATGGTAGCTGCTTTAGACGTTCTTATTAGACAAAAGGAGTGAGTAGCCAAAGTATACAATAAGAAAGACAAGTCAAGAGTATTTTTCGGTTGGAGATTATGTGTGGAAGGTAATATTACCTATGGATCAAAGAGATAAAGCCTAGGGGAAATGGTCTCCAAATCAGGAAGGACCATTTAAAATTAACCAAGTGTTTTCAAATAACACTTATGAAATCAAGGAGTTAACTTCTGACAGTCAAGTAATTCGAGTAAATGGAAAATACTTAAAAAAGTATAAGTATATGTTGCAAGAAGTACAAATATCAACATAGTGTACAAAAGGGGTTGCCAAGCTGGTAAATAAATTGGGCCAAAAATGGAAGTCCTTACAAAATCAGAAGTACAAGAAAAAAAATAACATTAGTCAGTAGACTTCAGGTTACTCCTAAACTCCTCGAAGTGTAACCTTGTACGCTCAAGTTTCCTATCGACCAAGCGGTCGACAACTCTCAGTTTGTCCATCTCTGCTTCTAGTAGGCGAGCAGTTCTTGCACGTTCCGTCCCAGTATTGGCTGCTTCAACTAGTAGATCATCGATAGAAGCCAACTCAGGAGCATTCAACTTTGTATTCTCTTTCTCTGCCACCTCAATCTTCATTTGCAACCAATTTATTTTTTGTCCATGACAAGATATTAGCTTCCAAGGTTTCCAGTTTGTTTTTGGCCTTAGCCTTTGCTTCTAACTCAGCAACTTAAAGTCGAGACTCAGAAACCAAATTTTGGTGTTCACGCAAAATTTTAGCCCTCCTCTCAAATCGACCGAAAAACTATTTCTTTGGCCCAACAACTTGAACGACCTGCTCGAGAAGAGGTTTAAAGTCCAAAACAAAACAATAATGGGGTTTGGCACTTCTAGTTTTCTCATATTCATAATTAATCCTTGGATATCAAATAAGGCAATAGAGTCGTCTCTGATTGTTTGAAAAGGGTCCAATCCGACAGGCCTGGATTTTAATTGTTGAAACAACTCATCAAAGTTGTCATTTTGGCCACCATGTGAAGTGGGAGATAAGTCAGAGAAACCCTCTTGGTTATCAATGAGTATTTTGAAAGCCTCAACATGATTCTCTTGATTGCCTTCAGCCTCTAAAGCATGTATAGTCAAAGCAGAGATGTCACTGAAGCTCTCCTGAGATCGGGATAGTGATCCTAGAGTAGGAGAAGAGTGAGTATGCCTTTAAATGCCTTCATGACCAGGAGACCTTACAAATGGTTGGATATGGTTGTACACAACAACAATTGGAGTCTTTTCAACACGAGTTCCCCTAACTTATCTCTTTTACAACTGTTCCCACGAGAGCCTCTAGTCTTATAGCCTTAACTTTATCAACTTGAGAAGTGGGTTCAGGTGTAGGTCGACATTGCCCTTCAGCAGAAGAATCATTAAATAGACTTTCAGTAGTCTCTACACTTAACTCTAGAGTCCCCACACCAGCTTGTCTTGATTATCGACGACCCCACCATTCCAGCATCACTATGTAAGTTATCAGAAGGTGAAGTGGTCGTCGAAGGCATTGTGTACTTGATGCTTGACTAGTCGACATTGTTGGATTATTTAATTCAGCGTCTCCCTGAGGGATTTCATGGGCTTAACATCCCACCCATGGGCGCCTACACAGGTTTGTTAGGTGGGCTAGGTAGGCCCCTTAGGGTTCACTTTAAGAAAGATAGTTGCGCCCTGACTAACAACAATTGCTTTTGGCCTAGTGGTAAGCGCTTTATCCTACAAGTGGTATCAGAGCAAGGTCATGGGTTCGAATCCCCCCGGCTGACACTGGGGGGGGGGGGGGGGGGGAGATTGTTGGATTATTTAATTTAGTGTCTCCCTGAGGGATTTGACGGGCTTAACATCCCACCCATGAGCGCCTACAAGCAATTGCTTTTGGCCTAGTGGTAAGCGCTTGATCCTACAGGCATGACTACATGATGCATCTGGTTGGGGTTGAGGGCCTTTAGAGGTGGCATCGACAGGCTGCTCAGATGAAGAATTTTGAATTTGTTCATAGTTCAAAAACGAAAACACAAAATAAACAAGTTGCCCTGCCAGCGGTTGGAAGAGGGTAGGAAGGCGCATTATCAGAACTCTGAGTGGGATATTGGGAGGATGTGCCACATTTTTTGCTCTTTTTCAGAGTTGGA